ATTGAATCTTCCAACAAATTCAATTCCAAATTCATTTCTTTTTTTAATCATTATATTGTTTTAATTCTTCAACCATTGAATCTTCCAACAAATTCAATTCCAAATTCTTTTAGAGAGTTTCTTTTCTTGATCATTGTATTGTATTATCGTTTTGATTCTTCAACCATTGAATCTTCCAACAAATTCAATTCCAAATTCGTTTCTTTTCTTGATCATTATATTGTTTTAATTCTTCAATCATTGAATCTTTCAACGATTCAAAGTAAAACATCCGTTCAATTCCAAATTTATTATTTCTTTTCCTGATCATTTTTTATTATTTTAATTTTACAATCATTGAATCTTCCAACGAGTTCAACGATTCAAATTGAAACATCTGTTCAATTCCAAATTTGTTTCTTAATCATTATATTATTTTAATTCTTCAACCATTGAATCTTTCAACGATTCAAAATAAAACACCCGTTCAATTCCAAATTTGTATTATTATTTTAATTCTTCGATTTTAATTAAATCTTCCAAAAAGTTCAACAATTCAAAATATAACACCCATTCAATTCCAAATTTATCGTTCCTTGATCATTGTATTATTATTATTTTAATTCTTCGACCATTGAATCTTCCAACGAGTCGAACGATTCAAAATAAAACAATATATCCTTTTCTCCTTTTCCTGATCCCATTATATTAATATTTTCATCCACGAATCTTCCAAGATTCCTCGAAATCCACCGACTCGACAATTCGATCTCGTCTCTTATATATCGAGCATCTCAGGGATGGTGGAGGAGGGGAGGGGAGCCTGGCTCGATTCAATAGGAAGCCACGACATGACACGACGAGGCGGCCGCCTCGATCGATATTCAATTTACAGTTTCGCGACAAAATTGGCGCGCGACACGACCTGCCTGCCCTCTCCCTCCCTCCCTCCCCTCTCCTTCTCGGAAACGGCCATTCGAGCCGTTCCCCTGAAAAACCGCGTGGGCGTGTTGCCCGCCTCGTTAGCCCTCTCCTGTCTTCTGCCTCCTCGTTAGCGGCGCTCGTCCACCAATGATTTAAATATAATACTTAATTCAACGGCGCCCGTATTCAATGGGCGCAGCCGCGTCAACGCATTTGTTTCTCTCTGTTATTATTATTATTATTATTATTATTATTGTTATTGTTATTGTTGTTGTTATTATTATCATCATCATCATCGTCGTCGTCGTCGAGTGAATCGTGTCCCGCGAGTCATATTAATGGCGCGTAGCGGTGCGAGCAACGATCAATCTCGTTGTCACAATTAAACGCATACGAACGCATAGAAAGCATAGAGAGCCGAAGAATAATTTATATCCACGGCTACCCACGTGAGTGGATTCCCCGAGATCGAGGAACGTGTTCCCCTTTTCCACTTGGGGTGGAGGGGAGAGAGGAGGTTGGAGGAGAATAGGTAAGCGGGGATTAAGGTAAGGTAATTTGGAAAAATAATTTTTCCAAATTCGACTTCGACTTCGACTGAAACGGGAATGGTACTTTTCTCTTGGTTTGGGGTTGCGAACGAAATCATTTCGATTACCACGAGAAGTGACGTAATAAGAAGAATAGAAAAATTTTCGAGTTCTTTCTTTCTATGTTTTAATTGGCAGGAGGAAACGCCTGGTAACGTCCTTTCCTTGGAGTTTGATTAATGTTTTAAAACCTCGACACTGATCCAGCAAATAATTGCCTTCCAGATTAATTGTTTTTTGATGGACCACGGCCCGCCTGTATTTATTTATATCCCCCCTCCCCTCCCTCCCCCGTAGTCGAAAGACAAAATGGCGGACGCCGCTCATCCCTCTCCATCGTTCCCACACAACGAATAAATATTGTGATGAATCGTAATGAATCGACGAAACGATTTATTTCGAGGGAGAGGGAGAGATCCTTTAACCTTTCCTCGATCGAAGTAATCGAGCGAGTGGAGGAAAGGCACGCATGATCTTTCGCTCACCCGTTCGCCAACGGGTTTATAATCGCGATCGTTTCTAATCCCGACTCTAATTTGCCATTGATTTATGAGAATTCAACCTCTCGTTCCCGTTCAACGCTCGCCTCACTCACGCCAATTTTCATGTATGTATGATGCGCCTGAACTTGTCTTCTCCGCGTGTATGTAATATGTATATATATAT